GTTCCTATCTGGAGCCACAGCTGGGTTTGCAGACGCCTCTGAGCTGACTGACTGCGTGTTTGGAGGGAGGGGGGGGTTGGGCGCACCTGCTGCCTGCCTTGATGACTCGGGGGTGACTTGGGGTCTGTGCCACCTCCCTGCCAGGAGGTGCCCGGCGTGGGGATGGGGCTGCCGGACACCAGCACCCAAAGGATTCGTCTCAAGAGAACAAGTCAAGGTACTTGGTTTGGGCCGGGGATAACAGTTCAGGAGACTCCAGGCGCTGGACCCGTGCGTGGTGGTTATGACGCATTTCTGAGACATGAACCTTTACCCAGATGCCAGGCTGGGCTTAGTGTGCTAGTGGCGGCCGCGGCAGCCCTTGCTCTGTAGGGAATGAAGGATTGGAAGGTGACAGCCACAGGATAACGTTAAGGTATAAACAGGGTCAATTAATAATCCGTGACAGCAGTAATTCAGTGGAGATCCAAATTGCTCGCATGCTACCAAAAGTTAACGTCCCAACTGGAACATTGTTATTTGCGGAGAAAAGCAGAACATCGCGAGCCAAAGGAAAGAATTTCCATTTGCAGTTTATTTTTATTTATCGGGGTATGTGTGCGTGCGCCCCGTAGGCCAGTCCTAGGGCTTGAACTCAGAGCCTGGGCATGGTTGTTGACCTTTTTCCGCTCAAGGCTACAGCTCTGCCCCTTGAGCCACAGCTCCACTTCTGGCTTTTTGGTGGTTCATTGGAGATGAGTCTCCAATGGGCTGGCTTCCAACTGTGATCCTCTGATCCCAGCCTCCTGAGTAGTTAGGGTAACAGGTGTGAGCCCACAGGTGCCCAGCTCAACCCCACAACTGTCTTAGCACTCTTTCCTAAATCTGCCCACCCACTATGTTAGCATCTTGGCACACTATGTGCTGTAAGAACTTGTTTTTGTCCCAAATTAGGGGCAGTATCTGTCTGTCTGTCTCTCTCTCTCTCTCTCTCTCTCTCTCTCACACACACACACACACACACACACACGTTAGGCTCACGCTCCTGGGGGTTGGTTGCGGCCTCGCACTTGCTTGCTCGGAGGAGACAGGATCGTAGGCAGAGCCCCCCTCCTCTTGCTTCTGCTGAGGCCCTGACAGCACCTGGGGGAAAAAAAATAACCAAACCAAACCAGATCCTGCTGGTGAGGAGCTGGCCAAGGCCAGAGAGTGTCTAGGAGTCACTAGTCCCCCGAGGCTGAGGTCCTTTCCTCCTATCTGAACCTTATCTGAACAGTTAAGAATACAAAATGACCCACGGATGCTTCCCCCCCCATCTCCCTCCTCCCTCCCCCCTTCCCCTTCAACATGTCCCTGGCCTGAGCAGTGGAGCCTGGTGAGCAAGGTGACATGGTCTTGGCCCAGGAAACCTCCTGGGTCTCCTATCTGTCGGGCAGGGGAAGGTGAGTTGGACCCAGGCTCAGATGCCACTCCTGGGCTTCCCTCCCTCTGCCCCCCTCCTCCCCCGCTGGGCTTTGGGCACCGTTCTGGGAGTTATCTGCCTGCTTTCCTAATCTGGGAAGCACAGGTGTCAGGGCCTGGGGCTAAGGCCGTGTGGGGATGGAAGGCCTGGCCGCCAACCTTTATCAGTAACTCCTGAGCTTCTGTTTTTTCTCCCTGCCTCACTTGTGGCTGGAGTGCACCTCTGGCTTCCTGCTGGGCAGGGAGACTCTGCCAGACATGGTGCCTGCTCTTTCGGGCATTCAGTCCCCAGGGCTCTGGTCCCAGAACCCTCCCATTGGGACCCCCTCTGTCCTCTAGATGCTGGAAGTGACATTGGTAAGGAGAATCCACGAGAAGCCAGGCACTGTTAGTTCACACCTGTAATCCCAGCTACCAAGGAACACAATTCATAGCCAACCCCAGCAGGGAAGTCTGTGAGACACTTTTGTCCAGTTAACCACCATCATGTTGGAAGTGGAGCTCACAGTGGTAGAGCACCAGCCCAGAGCAAAAAAAGCTCAGGGACAACACCCAGGCCTTGAGTTCAAGCCTCAGTCCCAGCACCAAAACAACAAAAAAATTCAAATTGAGAAACAAAGCCACTTGGCTCTGGGCATGTTGGTTGGTTGGTTGGTGTTTTGGCAGTGTAACCTGGCCCATCGTCTATGTAAACAGCCAGGGAGCTGTTAGGGCACGTTCTGGCTCCTCACAGCAAGCCCTGCTTTATCTTGGGCTGTGACCCCTTCCTTCCTTTTCTCTTGTTGGTCCTGTGGCTTGAACTCAGGGCCTGGCTGCTGTCCCTGACCTCTTTTTGCTCACGGCTAGCGCTCTACCACTGTGAGCCACAGCGCCACTTCCAGTTTTCTGAGGGTTCACTGGAGGGAAGAGTCTCACGGACTTTGCTGCTGGGGCTGGCTTTGAGGCACGAACCTCAGATCTCAGCCTCCTGAGGCGGGGGACGCCAGGCCTGGCCCCTTCCCTCCTTTTCTGCACCACCCCATCCACGGCCTCTGCCCCTGCCCGAAGATCACTGTCTTCCCTGCTCCTGGCTCACCGTCTACCATACACACCCTCCCCACTCAGAGTAGCAGAGGTATTAGTGCTGTGTCTGCAGGCAGGCCCAGGTTCCAAGAGGAGGAAAGGGCCAGGGCCTGACGGAGATGCCCAGTCCCCGCTGCCCGTGGTCCATGAGGATCCAGCTGTGCCCACCCAGCGCATGCATACGTGTGCCAGGCTGGGCCCCACGCAGCCTCCCTGTGGGTTCCCAGCAGCCCCCGTGCAAGGGCTTGGCCCGGCATGGCTGAGTGCCACGGGATCCACTCCCAGGTGTCCACTACACTGGCCATGGGCAGCAGTGGCAAAGGCCCAGGGCCGACCATGGCTGAGATCCTGAGGTCATCCTGAGCCATCCAGGATCCACCCCAAGTGAGACAGCCCACCAGTGGCTTCTCTTGCTCCCTCTGGCCTCCAGTGACCAGCCCTGGGGCTAGGGAATGTTGCTCACTGGTAGAGTACCCACCTGCCTGGCATGTGCCAAGGCCGAGTTCAGTGCCCAGGGAGATGATGAACTCAAGCCGAGCCTGGTGGTACATGTCTGTAATCTCAGCACTCAGAAGACTGAGTCCAGTGCTGGCCTGAGCTACATAACAAGACTAGGTCTCAAAAAAGTGAAAAAGAATAAAAGCAAAAAGCCAGAGCTTACACTCTAGGGCGTGGGAACCTTGGCAGGTGGGGGCTGGGGACAGGGCCGGAGCTGGGCCAAGAGCAAGCAGGCCATGCACAGGGCAGCTTTCCTGGCCTGGGGGAATGCGCCTTCAGGAGGGAGTTGGAGCCCCTACTCCTTGGCTACTTTGTTTCCAGGCGCGTTGGGTTACTTTGTTTCTTAGTGCGGTGTGGGCTGCCTTTCCTGGAGGCAGGCTTCAAGGAGCTGAGTCCTTTCCCACACACCCTCCCACCCTTGCTTGCTCTGCTCACCTGCCCGCCGCTTTGCACTGTCCTTGTTGGTCCCAGCACCCAGGTCACCTCAGCTTTGCCTGCCCCATCTCTTGGCACTTACAGTCTTGTCCTGCCCGGAACCCCACTACCCATGTCCCCACCTGGCTGTTCCCACATACACTCCCCCCGCTCCCCAGGCAGCCTGAGGTCAGCATCCGCCAGCCCCTAGGCCAGCCAGAGCCATGGCACACGCACACACACACACACACACACACACACACACACACTGCCTGGGTAGATGCCCCAGGACCCGATCACACACACACACACACACACACACACACACACACACACTGCCTGGGTAGATGCCCCAGGACCCGATCACACATACACACACACACACACACACACACTGCCTGGGTAGATGCCCCAGGACCCGATCACACACACACACACACACACACTGCCTGGGTAGATGCCCCAGGACCCGATCTCTGGCTATGCCTTAGGAGAGACGGTGCACCTCTGACTGGGGGGAACAGTGGGGCATGGGACCCCCCACTGGATCCCTTCCCACTCAGGGCCGCACCCACCCTGCCCCATTTCCCCAGGGAGGCAGTGCTGCCCCATGCAGGGAGCAGCACCGGGCCAGGGTGGGGAGGATGGGGCAGGGAAGGCCCTGGCCGGCCACCGGGTGAAAGGCCACATTGGGAAAGCATCCAGCGGCCCGGTGGGTGGATGCGGGCTGCCTCGCTAGCCACAGCAAGATTCTTGAGACACACAGAATTCAGATGGGGCGCATCCTCACCGGCTCAGGCCCAGCCGTCAGCCGAGCCACCATCTGGCTAGGTCAGCCTCTGACCCCGAGACGCCCTGCTGGAAGGAGGCTTGGGGAGTAGCCCAAGCAGGCGGGGCTTGCATGCTGCATGAGAGCAGCCGAGGCCCACAGCAGGGGAGGGGTCCCCCCGGGCTGGGGCCGGGAGAGGGGGGGCCCTCCACGGATGGCGGGTACCTGTGTGCTCACCCCATTCCCAGGCAGGCTGCCCTGAGCCCAGGAGCAGTTCCCCCACCCCCGCCCAGGATGGGGTCCCTCCCCTAGGCTGCCCTGCTCACACGCACGGTACCTTCCTGGTTCTTTGTGAAGAGGAGAGAGAGCGATGGACATTTACACACTATTTTACAACTCCAGCGAAGCACGAACTCTGGAGTGCGAACTTGACTCGTGGGGTGGGGGGCTCGGGGAGGTAGGGGGTCAGGACCCTGGAACGTTGTCTGCCCTGAGCCACTTTGGTCAAGGCGTTTCCTGTCGCCCCACATCCCAGTCCTGGTGGCGCGGCTCCGCGCTGGGCCCGCTCAGCTGGGCGATCCCCTGCAGTTCAGAAGTTCAGAACCCGGGTGTGTCTGCTCGTGCTCTCTGAGTCCTGCTGCCTCTCTCAGCCTCAGCTTCCCCGGCTGGGTAGTGAGTGAGCAGGAAGGGGGCAAGCAGGAAACGATTCTCCCTGAGGACTGTGGCCAGAGGTTTTAGTTCGTCCTAGATGAGCGCAGGGGAGAGGAGGAGAGGCCAGGATGGGGGTGGTGGGGGGAGAGGCCGGGACCCCGCTCTCACCGTGCGGCTCTCCCCGCAGGCAAGGCACACCATGTCGGTCAGCGTCCATGAGACCCGCAAGTCCCGGGGCAGCACGGGCTCCATGAACATCACCCTCTTCCACAAGGCCTCGCACCCCGACTGCGTGCTGGCCCACCTCAACACGCTGCGCCAGCACCGCATGTTCACCGACGTCACGCTGCGGGCTGGCGACCGCGCCTTCCCCTGCCACCGCGCCGTGCTGGCCGCCTCCAGCCGCTACTTCGAGGCCATGTTCAGCCACGGCCTGCGGGAGAGCCGGGACAACACGGTGAACTTCCAGGACAACCTGCACCCCGAGGTGCTGGAGCTGCTCCTGGACTTCGCCTACTCGTCGCGCATCGTGATCAACGAGGAGAACGCCGAGTCGCTGCTGGAGGCGGGCGACATGCTGCAGTTCCACGACGTGCGTGACGCGGCCGCCGAGTTCCTGGAGAAGAACCTCTTCCCCTCCAACTGCCTGGGCATGCTGCTGCTGTCCGACGCCCACCAGTGCCGCCGCCTGTACGACTTCTCCTGGCGCATGTGCCTCGTGCACTTCGAGACGGTGAGGCAGAGCGAGGACTTCAACAGCCTGTCCAAGGACACACTGCTGGACCTCATCTCCAGCGACGAGCTGGAGACCGAGGACGAGCGGGTGGTCTTCGAGGCCATTCTCCAGTGGGTGAAGCACGATCCGGAGGAGCGCCGGGCGCACCTGCCCGAGCTGCTGCGCAGTGTGCGGCTGGCCTTGCTGCCCTCCGACTGCCTGAAGGAGGCCGTCTCCGGTGAGGCGCTCCTGCTGGCCGATGAACGCAGCAAGCTGGTCATCGACGAGGCGCTGCGCTGCAAGACCCGCATCCTGCAGAACGACGGGGTGGTCACCAGCCTCTGCGCGCGGCCCCGCAAGGCGGGCCACACGCTGCTCATCCTGGGCGGCCAGACCTTCATGTGTGACAAGATCTACCAGGTGGACCACAAGGCCAAGGAGATCATCCCCAAGGCCGACCTGCCCAGCCCCCGGAAGGAGTTCAGCGCCTCGGCGATCGGGTGCAAGGTGTATGTGACGGGGGGCCGGGGCTCCGAGAACGGGGTGTCCAAGGATGTCTGGGTGTACGACACCGTCCACGAGGAGTGGTCCAAGGCGGCGCCCATGCTGATCGCCCGTTTTGGCCATGGCTCGGCCGAGCTGGACAACTGCCTGTATGTGGTGGGCGGGCACACGTCCCTGGCCGGCGTCTTCCCGGCCTCCCCGTCCGTCTCCCTGAAGCAAGTGGAGAAGTATGACCCCAGCGCCAACAAGTGGACCATGGTGGCCCCGCTGTGGAGCGGCGTCAGCAACGCCGCCGTGGTGAGCGCCCGGCTGAAGCTCTTCGTCTTCGGAGGGACCAGTATCCACCGCGACATGGTGTCCAAGGTCCAGTGCTACGACCCCTCCGAGAACCGGTGGACCATCAAGGCCGAGTGCCCCCAGCCCTGGCGGTACACGGCCGCCGCCGTGCTGGGCAGCCAGATCTTCATCATGGGCGGTGACACGGAGTTCACCGCCGCCTCCGCCTACCGCTTCGACTGCGAGACCAACCAGTGGACGCGGATCGGGGACATGACGGCCAAGCGCATGTCCTGCCACGCGCTGGCCTCGGGCAACAAGCTGTACGTGGTGGGCGGCTACTTTGGGACGCAGCGGTGTAAGACCCTGGACTGCTACGACCCCACCTCGGACACGTGGAACTGCATCACCACCGTGCCCTACTCGCTCATCCCCACGGCCTTCGTCAGCACCTGGAAGCACCTGCCTGCGTGACGGGCACCTGCGGAGCGCGGCCAGGTGAGGACCCCCCTCTTCCCCCCTCCCCCTCTTCCCCCCTCCCCCCTGCAGCCCCCGGACGGCGCTTGGGGACGAGGCTGCCGTATCCGGTGGACTGCAGGTGGCCGGGGCTCTCAGCCACATGACTCTGGATTGGCTGCGCCTTCTGAGGGGCAGCTGCTGCTGACCACTAGGAAAGCATTGCCCCCCCCCCCTCCAGCCCCGGGCTGCCCTCCCCACGCCTTGGCCATGTTGTGCCAGGCAGTGGGTCACAGGTCAGTCCTGTGAGCCCTGCGTGGGCACCCACGCCTCGTGTGGGCCTCCTTCCTCAAAGCAGGGCATCCATGTGGGCATTGGTGTCCAAGGACACCCTGAAGACTTCTTGATAAACCCCCCAGCCAAAATCCCGCTGTCTGGAATACCTGGTGCTGGGCCACCGGCTCCTCCCTCTCTTCCTCCTCCCCCTTCCTCCTCCTGCTCTTTCCTCTCCTCCCTGCTTCTCCTGCAGGGCATGTCTGTCTGGATTTGATCTGTTCAGGCACTGTCAGGGCCTGGCTGAGGCGTCCCTCCCCTTCCCAGCCTCCTTGGAGCTGGCCCAGGGCCGGCTGGCTGCGGCGGTGACTGCCCAGGGCGCCACCACAGCGGCCTGTGTGTGTGTCGTGTCTTTTTCTCCTTGGCTTCAGAAGCTGGCTGCCCGCCACCACTCAGCCTCCACCACCCTCATTTCACCACCCTCATTTCCGGGGAAAGCGTGATGCTCCCGGGAGCTGGGGGGAGGGGAGGAGGGGGCCAGCGTGGCTCAAGAAGGCAGCATGGGGGTGTGAGGCCTGCGCCCACAGCCTGTGGCTCACACCGGGGGCGGGGCTCCTGCCCTGTGCCCAGTGCTCAGGCCCCGGACACCACCTTTTGGCCTCACAAGCAGGGGCCTTTGTGCCCTTCCCTCTGCCATGCTGTGCTACCTTTCCCTCCAGCCAACCCTGGATCTCTTCCCTCCCATCCCCTGCATCCAAATAACCTAATGGTCCAGAGCTGGTCCCACCCCTTCCCACCCCTGCTCCTGCTGGGTGATCTCCTTGTATTTATCTGTCCCATGGGGAGGACAAGGCCTGTTCTGTCCCCAGGGCCAGAGAGCGGGGAGCAGGGTTGGAGGGAGTGGCAGGTGGGGAGCCCACAGCTCGGGGTGCCGCCACGCTCCCTGGCCTTCTGACCAAGGCGGTCCCATGATAACATCACTGTATTCCAGCTTAGGCCAGAACAGGGCGGCCTCTGATGATCTCCTCTCTCCCCCGTGTCCTCTGCAGACCCTGCCCGTCCCTCCACACTGTCCTGGTGCGGCCTTGACCCCGCTGCTGTCGCCGTGGGAAGCGAAGCCGACAGCGCCCGCACCGGCCGCAGCCACCTCCGGAGGCTCCTCTGAGCTTCAGCCAAGAAAAGCGAAGCGCCTGCGCCCCGTGCGCCCCGGGTCTTGTGGTCTTGCGTGGGGAGGGGTGCTCCCAGGGGGCACAGCTGCCACCAGGTCCCTGGGCAGAGGCCCAGGCCGGAGCTGGGCGGGGTGGCAGCGTGACAGGCTGGCACGGCCTCTGATTCCAGGGCTGCCCTGTGGGAGGCCGTGCAGCCCACGCCCCCCCCCCCCCCCGCCGTCCTGGGACTCGGGAAAATGCCACTGGACTGGGCACACACCACGGGAAAGCTGAGGGTGCCTTGTTGCTTTAGTAAGGGGCAGGAACCCCACAGGCTGCCTCGGTGGTAGCCTGACCAGACAACCCCGATCCCAGGCTGGAGGAGGCTGGCTGGCCTGTTGGCCTCTCACCATCCCACCAAGAGGCCCCAAGCGTGCCCATCCGGCAGGTGCTGGGGGGCGGGAGGCAGCCTGTCACCTTCCCTCCTTACACCAGAGACCGCCCGAGCCGCACAGGACACTGTCCGCTGTCAAGACCTGCCACCTGCCGACACCGGGCCCACTCCACCTCTCAGCTACCAAGGGCTCCCCAGAGAACCCAGAGCTATTTAGCCACTGTCACCTCCCAAGTCTTGGGGAATCCCTCTCTGGAGTCCCCAGAATCTCAGCAGTGGGGGGCCCAGGCTGCTGTATGAGCTGCCTGGCTGGCTCAGGGTGAGCCCCCAAGTGGGCTCCAGCGTGGATAGGAGTTTGGGGCCATGGTTTCTCCATCCATCCCTGAGGTCCCCACGCCTCAGGCCTGGCACTGGTCTCGTGGGCGTCGCTGGGGGCGGGGGCTCTGGGGCTGGCTCACCGAGGAGCCCTGGCGAAGGGCTGAACATGTCCCTCAGGCCCCGCCTGGGGATGCTGGGGCCGGGGGTCGGGGGGGGGGCGCCCACTTAGTGGACACGAAGCACAAAGGACCTGCGTGGTGCTTTCCGCAAAGCTATGCCGCTTTGTCAGGTTTCTAACTTAATAAAAACAGGAGAAGATTCTCGGCCTTTCTGAGTTTCTGGGACTGGTCTTGGGCAGGGCTGGGTTCCTGTCTGCCCTCCTGCCACCCAGGGCGTGATGGGCCCTGCCTGCGGGTAGGGGGCGGGGGAGGCGGGTGGGGGGGCCCCTTCCTGCTCACCAACTGTAAACCCCAGAAGCCTTTCATTTAGCCAGATCCTGGAAGTCCAAGGTGGAAATCGATTCCATCCACTTGGGCAGATGAGGCTGCTGGGACAGCAGCTCTGTCCTCTGCCACCGGTTCAACGTGACGTTACTTGCAAATGCCAGCAAATGCCAGCCGGCCCAGCCGTGCCAGCCCGCCGGGCACAGCGGATGCATGGAGACCTCAGCTTTCCTTTCCTTGGGTGACACAAGACGTCAAGCATTCATTTTCCCTAGAAATGTGAATGAACGTCACGACGTAGGAGGAAATGTGTGAAGTTCTTTCCCTGAAGCCCCCTCCGGGGCAGGCCTCGCCGACTCAGCTTTTCTCCGCACACACCAGTGTTGCTTCTCTGTAGGCAGATTCAAGGTACAAGTCGCGTACACTTTTGGATCTGGTTCAAAGGTCCTTTGTGTGGCAAGCAGGGCAGTTTTAAGTATTTTGAGAAACTGCGTTTTATGGCCGTTGAAGGAGTTGAATCGGACCTGGTGTTTGGAAAGTCCTGGTCATGCCGGTGACCTTTCACCTGGCTGCAGCCCCAAGTCTCGCTGGGCGCCTCCCTGATTCCCGCTCTGCTGGTTTGCATGTGGGTAGTTGATGTCACAACCCTCCATGTCTGTCCAAGTGGCTTTTCCTTCTTGTGTCAGTGTCTACTAGTCAGCGTGGGCTTTGAGGTCAGAGTGCGCAACGGTCTGATGGAAAAGAGGTCAGAGGGCAGGCTGAGGGGTCGGAGGGCAGTCTCTGGCTTCGCCTGGCCTTGCAGCTGTGCAGATCTGGACTCTGATCTTCCATCACTGGCTGGCTGCAGGCTAGCCCTGCCTAGAAAGGTCAGAGTGGCCTAAGAGAGCAAGGGGTTCTCTCCTTTCAAACAGACTTGGAAGAGACCTAGAACAAGGAGGGCAGCGGGGCTGTGCTGTACCAGCCTGGCCTTTCAGCAAAGGTGCGGGCCTCAGTCCATGTCCAGGAGATGGTTCAGTGAAGCCAGCAGTGGGGGAGGCGGGGGTGCTACCGCACTGGGTGTGCTGGGTGAGTGAGCCAGGGCCGACCGGAGAGCAAGGTTTGGGGGGGGGGTTGCCTGGGCTGTCTCACCAGGCTTTCTAGAGACAGTGACACATGGCTACCATACAGAAGCAGGAGGCCACATAGGGTCTGGGGCTGGGTTAGCAGACGGGGCAGACGGCAGAGAACAAGGGGGCACAGTTCTATTTTTTTTTTTTTTGCCAGTTCTGTGGTTTTGAACTCAGGGCCTGGGCACTGTCCTTGAGCTTCTTTTGCTCAAAGCTAGCACTCTACCACTTGAGCCACAGGGCCACTTCTGGCTTTCTCTGTGTACATGGTACTGAGGAATCGAACCCAGGGCCTCATGCATGCAGACAAGCACTCTACCACTGAACCAACCGTCTTTCCAGCCCCAGCTCTTAAATTGTTGACATAGATGAGAGCTGGGGCTGTCACCCTTCCTCCAAAGCCCCTGTCACTGTGAAGCCTGTCAGGCCCCTGGCCACCCACAGGGGTGGCGAAACAGCGGAACTCCAAGATGGCACCCAGCCATAAAGCTGTGTTGCCTGTAAGTTGATTAGCAATCTGTTTAGTGGTGGTACAGTACTGCCCGCTGGGGCTGGCTTCAAACCAAGATTCTTAGATCTCAGGTCCTAAGCAGCGAGGATAATCATTGTGATCCAGGTAGGAGCCTTACTTTCACCGTGCTGCAGGGCGGCTGGCTCCTGGGAAATGACATGAGTACTCAGAGTCCCATCTTCTTCCTGGCAGGCTTCCCTGGCCTCCACCCTGGCTTCCTAATTTCCCCTGGGTGCGCCAGGCTCTGGTCTATGCCCAGCCATCAGCTGCAGTCTCTTGCTGATCAGAACTCTCCTGGCCTCACACAGATGGCACAGGTGGCTGGGGCCCCTCAGCTGGAAATAGGCACTTCTTTACAGGTGGGGTTTGTGTGGTGCCCCACTCAGGGCAGGCAAGGCCCACCGAGCACCCCCCTGAAAGACCACGTAGGATTCCGGGGGCCAGTGTTCAGGGAAGAATGGAAGCTTCTCACCCTCCTTTGCTTCCCAGACAGCAGCCGGCGCTGGCTGAGAACCAAGAGCCAGAGGGAGGCAGTGGGAACATCTCTTGTCTCCTGGGGCTGCCGGTGGGATGGGCCAGGGCCACAGCGGTGGCAGGGTGGGGGAGGAGACGACGGCTGGAAGTGGGTGAAAAGGGACCAGTGTTCCACTGGCTTGAAAACAGGCAGGGATTGCCAAGGCTACAAAGGCCTCTGTTCAGCAATCCGTGCACTTCCATGTCTGTGGACAAAGGGAAGACCCTTGGCAGCCTGGAGGGGTTTTCATTTGGACTGTGGGGGGAGGGGCAGAGCCAGGAATCCAGGTGGCTTTGCTCTTTTCTGTCCACCACCAGAGGACGCAGCAGCGTCCAGGGGAAGGCAAGAGCCTGCCCAGGGCAGCCCCCGCAGCCCCAGCCGGGGGAAGGGGGAGGGGAAGGCCCCTGGCCGGGGCAGGACCCTCACTTGTTCCTCCCTGAACTGTGCCCCACGAGAGAGCTGAGCTCTTTGTCAGTTGGAGAGGCAGACACCCCTCTTTCCAGGAACTCAGGACAGAAAGAAATGACAGCAAGAATGAAGATTTCAAAAGAAATTTATTTTTGAAAGGGCAGAGGGGGACTTTACAAGAGTCTGAAACCAGTAACTAGAAGATAAATAAAATACAAAGCCAGTATGTTGTGGCAAAATTCCAGAAAACACACTGAAAAAAAGATTTTTTTTTTACAGTTTTGAAACTGCTTCACTTTATACATAATTACAGTCTAATATACAAAGGTGGGCTTAAACTCAGCTTTCTTCTTGAATAGGATTTAGCACAGAAATGTTCACACAGCATCTGAAACAACCAGGAGAGCAGAGCTCACCATCCTGCTGCGAGGGCGTCCCCAGGGAGGGGTGGCCAGGGCAGGACAGGGCAAGGCAGGACAGGCCAGGCTGGCCACTGGCCACAGAACCTCCTTCAAGGAGTGCTGGGGGAGCGGCCACCTGTGTGGCGATGGAGGTCTGGGGACGATCCTCTGAAGGGCCCGCGGCAGATGCCTGCGCCTCGGCCAAGGGCAGAGAGTCCGGCCAGCCTGGGTCACCCATCCGGTAGCCTTGGTGAGTTGGGGAAACATCTCACATCCTGTTCAACTTCTGACGAATTAACGGAGACCTTTTCTTCTCCCCACTGCTTCCACGGCAGATTAGGAACCTCTTATTTTAGCACCCGGCCGGCAGGCGGGAGATTCCAAAGCTCTGCTTCCAAGGAATGTTATTTGACAGAGAAAGAAAAACGCAGAAACCAAACTCATCTGTCTGTCCTTGGTGTCTGAGGCGGCCGCGCGCGTGGTGGGGACGCAGGCTCACGCTTGCTCGGGAAGATGGCATGTCCTGGCACGTGGGGTCTGGTCACCTCAGAGCTGCTCTGTCATCTGTGATTTTCTACACCTGGTAACTGGCCACCCATCCTCAGATACTTCAGCTCCAAGGAAAATACCAGACTTCTTGGCAAGATGGACACAGAGCCACAGGGATAGAAGAATGACACTGGAAGTACTTCGAAGGAGAGCAATTTGTGGCTAAAGCACTGGCCTGCTGGCTGTGGTTCCACCTCCATGGTGGCTGCATTTACTTAAGCCCTGGCCTGCTAACACATCCCCGAGTAGAGGACTGGATCAAACCCAACCCAGCGCAGGCTTCCTGCTAGCACTGAGGCCTTGCGGTGACTAACAGAGGCAGCTTTCAGTGGTATAACCCTGAGACACAGAAGAGGAAAGAAGGCTGGTGCGTACCTTTTTAAAAACAAGCTTAGTAAGGGTACCTTCCTCTCAGATGGCTCATGGGGGTAGAGGAAACATTGGCAAAGGTAGAATGTGGCAATTTGCATGTTTTCGCCCTGTTTTCTAAGAAAACAGCTAACACGTTTGATTGTCTCCAAAACGGAGCCAACGGCTGTGTGTTTAAAGTGCTCCTACGCCACCAAGCAGGTGACAGGACCGAGACGGTTATCCTTTGAGAGAAGATACTGTTAGCCTCCCTGCTGCCCGGTGGACTCCGCATGTCAGGGGCTCTGGATGGTCTTCTATCTGTCCCTACCAAACTGAAGAACAGCCTGATTTCTTCAGCTTGACTGGGTGGGGTGGTTTCTCAGGGGGGAACTCATACCAGAGCTCCAAGCGCTTCTCAAGGTCATGAGCCGAAGCACAAGCAGCTGAGCCCCCCAAGACCCCTCTCTGTAAGTGATGTGGGGCGGGAGGCAGGGAGCAGGCCTGGCACAGCAAGCCATCTTGGGGAACTCAGGATTGCCTTTGTGTGATTCCCATCTATGCAGGCAGAACTGACCGAGCTGCTAGAAGCTTCTGGGGTGTGGGGAGCGTGATGGCTCTGCTCCTCCAAATGCCCAAAGCTACCCGCCTCAGAGCTCGCTGTGAGGGGGAGCCGAGGCTGGGCAGAGGGGGGAGCAGCTGCTGGCAAACACAGGGAGGCAGCGACAGGGACAGCCAGCCGAGCCCCGCCTACGCTGGACCTGAGGAAGGGGACAGGGCCAGAGGGCTGGGCTGAAGGCAGCGGCCGACTCCCACCGCGAAAGGCCCAACAGAAACGGGGGTTGGTTTTGGTCTTAAAAGCCTCTTTCTGAAGAGTGTGAAGTTTCTTTTAAAAAGTAGGCAAAGGTAGCTCAGAGGTGGCCAATTTCTAAACTGCTGATTGAGGAAGACACCTCCGTGATAAAGGAGGTGTGGGGGGAGGGGACGAAGCCCCACCTTCTCCGGGACTGTCAGCACAGGCTGATGCCTGCCCGCCATCGCTCTGCATGGGGTGGGCAGCTGGGTGGCTAGACCTGGCTAGCCTTACAAATAACACGAAACACGAGACACATACACAAAATAAATAAAACAGATTTAGGCTAAAAATCTGAAACCAGACTCTTTCAAATAAACTGAAAGATAAATATCTCCATCTGCAAGGCCAGCTTGCAGTTCAACATCAAGCACCAAGTAAAGATTCGCTTTCGCCAAGTCCCAGGCCTCCGACGCCAGGAGCAGACGCCACGCGGGGGGCCAGCGGAGCGGGGAGGACAAGCATGACCAGAGATGTTGGCAGAGCAGCAGACACAGATGGAACAGAGGAAAGGACAGAGGAGACACGGGCAGCACTGTAACATCTCCCAGAGCGAGCAGAATTAATACTCAACAGAGCTTCGGGTTTAAAATACGGAGGAAACTAAGTCAGACTGTGGCCTTCCTTCTGACAGAGAAGGATGACCCTCCCCACTCCCTCTCAGGGCCAGCTCCTGTCTGTGCTGGTGGAAACCCTGAACCTACCTCTCAGCCAACTGTCCTGGTGCAGGGGCTGGTGCTGGGCGGGGGGGCTCCTCGGGGCAGAGGGGCCCAGGCCGAGGCAGCTGCCTGGGGAGCCGCCTGGAGGCCTCTCCCAGGCTGGTGACACCCAATGGTTCTACTTCCTGTGTCTGGAACCACGCATATGCAGGCAGCAGTCCATTTTTTCTGAACCTGATGTTCTAAGTTAAGCCAGGACACAGACTAAGGGGGACTGATTACACGCTTTCAAACCTTCTCTCACTGGTTTCACAAATGTCTGTCATTGCCTCTGAAATGAATTGAGAAGTGGATACAAAAGGGGGAGAAGTGTGCCAAGGGGACCCAATCTTGGAGGACCACAGAGTGAAGGACAGAATGTCCACAAGCCACCAGGCTGAGCCCAAGCTACTCTCATGACTGAGATCGCCAGACCCCATGTGCGTGTACAATCTGCAGTACCTGCTCCCTGACTCCAGTTCTGTCCCCCCAAACAATATAAGGTGGGCAGAGTTTCGGTGGCATTTGGACCCTCTCTTTCACCCTGTGGCGGCTGCTGGCTTGCATCCTAACCTGCGCCTGTACTTCAGGGGCGCTGCTTTCCGGGCGACATCCTGCGCAGGACCAGCCCCGCTGAGCCCTGATTAGTCACAGGCCATGGCCGGATGGCATCTGTGCCTTTCCACCCTAACCTGCACACAACGCGCCTCGCCGAGGACTGGACGCGGAGCCGTGGACGTCCAGTGTAAGAGACTTGTGCGCAAGGGCGGCAGGCGAAGCAGGTGGCACAGCCGGGGCTCAGGAGCCAGGTCAGCAGAAGATCTCCTCCCCCTCCGCCGACACTTCCGATGCGGGACCATCTGGAACAGTGAGACCGAGATGAAGACATGCGCAAATGCCCTGCCTCTCCTCCCAGGCCAGTGTGGCGGGGCGGGGCGGCTGGGCCATTGGTAAACAGGTCCCCCATGGTAAGCTTCGGGACTGGCACTAATGCAGTCCCACTAATGGGAGAGGCCGGTCCTAACAAGGCACAGGACAGGGTTCAGGGAAACATGGCAGACAGTGGGCACTCTTATAAGTGGGCTGGGTGAGAGGGGTGCCAGCTTGGCTTTTGCCTGGCTGAACTGCATCCTTCTGCCCCATGCCACTCCCTGACTTTCATAAGACAAGCCCGCCCTGGCCAGCAGGGGTGGATACTCACCACCAGGCTGGGAGCGGCTTCCTTTGCTCTTCTTCTTTTTCTCCTTCTTTTCCTTTGGCTTAGTTAATCCGAAGAGGCGGGTGGTGGCGCTTGAGGGGGCCTGGGCCTGCCCTTCGGGGCCCTTGCTAGGCTGGCCCGGGGAGCTCAGTATGTGAAAAGGCCCCTTGTCTTTGTGTGTCCGAGAGAGGCTGTTCCTTTTGGGGGAGATCGAGAGGTCCGAGTCCAGGGATCCTGATTTGGTGGCCAAGGGGGCAGAGGGCAGGGGGTGCTCCTCGGGATTGGGGAAGAAGGATGGGATGCGCATCAGCTTGCTGTGTGGATGGGGCACCTGCACGTGGTCAGGAGAAGGCTCATTAGGCGGGGGCTGCCCAGGCTGCTGCAACCGGTGTGCGTGGCAGCATTCGACACGTGTGTGAGGCTGCGTGTCTAGAATGAGCTGTGGTTTCCCTTACTGTCCTCTCTCACGTAGGACCCAGGAACACATGAACACACTACCTCTGTGCTACAGATACGTCATGACGGGCACTACGGGACCAGTGGGGCTCTGAGGAGAGCCTAGGAAAGAATGAGGGCAGCTCGCCATGGCTGGGATGCGAGGTCAGGAAGGTCAATCCCCTCTTAGTGGGGACCCTCTGGGGACTCACTCGTGTGGGAGTGGCTCTGTCCTTGTCATCAGGAGCACCAGCCTTTCTCTGCTCCTGCATCTCCCCCAAATCTTCCACAGAGAGTGAGCACAGCCGCCCCACATGCTGCTGCACATGGCAGGACAGCAGTTTTAAAGGACGGGGAGATTTGGGCACAGTCAGGCCCTCCATCTGCTCCAAGTGCCCAGCGTGTGCGCTTAACAACTGGAAGACCCCCACAGGAGAGCAGAACATGTACAGAAAGGCTTCGTCACCAGCAGCAAAGCAAGTCGGGCGTTATGCGGGGTCCTCCCCAAACAAGAATGCTATCTGTGCGTGGGGGAATGGGCGGGCTCTTGGCTCTGTGAATGACCCCTGCTGTCACGCTGAGGACTCCTTTATCCTTGGTGAGCACCCACCAAGCTACGGCTCCCTGGAGAGCGGGCACTTGTCTGTAGTTTCCCGTGTGGCACAGGACACAGTGGTAACCCTGGAAATCTCAGGTGGCTGCTGCCACCTGCTGCGACAGCCCACCGCTCTGTCTCCTTGGTCCATTGGCACCAAGGGTCTACTGTCTGCTCTGGCCTCCCAGAGATGCAACAGGCACCCGGAGACCCGACTCCTCCCTGCTGCGTGCACAAGCTCACCCTCCGGTGGGCCTGGTGCGGGCCCCGCCATACCTGACAAAGGTCCGGCTCCAGCTGTCTCTGGCTGAGCAGCTCTGCCTCCCGCCTCCGCAGCTGCTCCTGCTCCCGCTCCAGCTGCCTCTGTGCAGCACGCAGCCTCTCCAGGTCGCTCTGGTAGGTGCCCTTCTTGTGCCGGAGCTCCTCCCGGTCCCTCTCCAGGTTCTGCTGTCCCAGCTGCACCTTCTCCTCGCGCTCGGCCAGCCGCGCCTCGCGCTCCCGCAGCTCCCGCTCCCGGGCCTCCCACTCCCGCTCACGCCTGCGCTTCTCCTCCAGGTGCTGCGCCTGCTGCCGCTGCAGGTTAGCCAGGTCCTGGCGCTGCTTCTCCAGGCTGCGCTGCTTCTCCTGCTCAATGAGCGAGCTGGGCCGTGACAAGCTCCTGGTGAGCACCCGCTCGCTCAGCACCAGCCTCTGGTCCTCGATGTAGCTGTCCTGCTGGAGCACCACACCCTGGGGGCACACAGGACAGCCATGCAGACCTGGACACTGCCCAGGACACTGCCGGCCAGGGGGACCCTCCTGACCCGGGCTAGGGCCCTGTGACAGAGAGACCCTCCCGCCATGTTCTAGAAGTCTGCTCTGGTAACAGAATGCTGCCAGGTTAACCATGCAGTTAGCACACGAGAACCCCATTTCCTGTCAAGACTGGTGACACACTTCCTGCAATGACTATGGCACCTGGGTGGTGGGAGGAGGTAGCAACAAGGCAAGGCAGCTGAGGGTCCAAGAATTGGGGGGGGGGAAGGGGGAGGGGGGAAGAACTAGCACACCCAGGGAACAGTGGGGTAATGAGGAGAGCCTTTCTAGAATGAGGTGGTCTCCCGCAGGTGTAAGCCCAGATGTTATCTGCGGGTTTCTTCAGTAGTCATGGTGGTAGATGGGGCGCTCGCTACTCTCACCTGACAGCCCCACCACCCATGTACCCTTAGGCAACCTGCACACCTTGGAGATCGAAATACCTGTCAACAACCATCCCTCCACTACTGCTCTCCCAAACCAGGTGCACAGAGAAGTCCCGTACCTGCAGAGTGCTCAGGAGCTCATGGAGATGGACGATGCTTTGGACAACCTGCTACAAAAGGAGCAGAAGAGAACAAAACAGAACAGCCTGTTAGGGCTGCACAAGCATCACGACCCACCACCCTACATCCAGAATACAGCAAGGAGTTGCTACTGTGATGCAACCCAAAGAGAAGTGAGCGAGTATGAGTAGCCAATGCAACCACTTCTTATTGATTTCTCCCTTTGCCATCTTTCAAATTCTCTTATCCCTAAAAGGGAAGCTGCCAATTTGTGGACCCTACTTGTGAATGCACGAAGCCCTCAAAAACAATGGCAACCATGCCCACCATGCACTATTTCTCACCCTGACTTTTTCACTGAGCAGAGGGAAGAAAGTGACACGTGGAAAAAGCAGCCTGCAGCTAACTTGCAAGGGGCACATCCAGAGAGAAGCTGCAGGCCTAGTTCAGAAAGAGAGCACACAGGCAGAGTCCTGCAGGGCACAGCTGCATTTAGGCTCCTGTGCCAACAAATACAGGACATGCTCCTTCTCTGCATTTTGGGGGTGGCAGGAAGAGTTCCCCTTAGCTTAGAAGTTCCACAGGAGACAGACAGTATGCTAAATGCAACAACGCTCTGGAAGGTATAGCAGTCAGGCTGGTTTCAGGGTCTGATCTCTGACTTGAAGGATGTCAACATCCTGCTTTCTTTCGTAGCTTAGACAATACTGCATGAAAGGAAGTACTCCAAGAAGTAAACTCAGCTTGTGTCCTTGAAGGATAGGAACTCTGCAGAATTAAACTACAAGTTAAATCTCCATTCTGGACTTGTGGCTTTGGGGGTCAGGTGTACGTTATAGGAAAAGTTGCTTCAAATTCTACTTACATGTGTTTAGACAGAAAGAAACTACCACGGGGGCTTCGGAGCCCTTGTGTTGACAAAACTATGTTGACAAAACTGACTAAATTATGGACAGAGAACCAGAGGCCTATAGCATAGAGAATATTCTAGTTGGCAAATCCCAGGGTTAGTTTCTCCAGATTCCAACAGAAACAGAAAAAGCCATGAAAACAGATGACATGATCAGCTGATACAGAAACTCTAGGCAGGAGTTGTAAACATCAAAACAAAGCTGAACATTGCTGTTCTTTTCTTTTTTTTTTTTTTTTGGGGGGGGGGGGAGTGGGGGTGGAGGAGGGTCAGTCATGGGGATTGAACTCTGGGGCTTAGGCACTGTCTGTGAGCTCTTCAGATCAAGGCTAGCACTCTACAACTTGAACCACAGGGACACTCCTGGCTTTTTCTGCGTATGTGGTGCTAAGGAATCGAACCCAGGGCCTCATGCATGCAAGACAAGCACTCTACCACTGAGCTACCTTCCCAGCTCCTGCATTGCTATTCTTTTATATAGACCTTTCTTAAAGATAATCTAAAGGCCTCACTTACCTCGCTGTTTCTCTTAAGCATAAATACAAGGTTAGCATTTCCGCCCTATAAACATAAAAATACAAATTATTAAATGAAGATCTTGATGCAAAAATTATCCTCAGTGCACTTCTAAGTTAAGTTGTAGTTTGCCATTTTATTTCCACAGTAGCCTCTGAGGGTACGAGGTGGAACTGCTTGGCATCGGAGCCTTATAGAAAGGCTATTGAAAGGGTGGGGCTCCTAAAATTAGCCTCTTCGTGCAAATGGTCCCGCTAGGGCCATGGTGAGCTTACGAATTTAAATGTGGTACTCAAGGAGCCAGAGAGCCAAGAATAAGGAGCCCTCAGCTGTGTGGCTTGGTAATGTGCTTTCCCCTGACAGGAAGGCAGAGTCTCATTTACAGTGGCAAGTCCAACATGCAACCCCAGATCAACACGGGATAAGTTAAAGGTTGTAAATTTGGTGGGAAGAACTGAAAAGGCTCGCAGGTAAGTGCGTTTTAGAAGGATTACCTTTTTCAGACCACTATCCGACTCTGCTCTCCTCAGATCTTGGCCATCATCATCTTCCTTCTCACCTCCTAAATAAAGTTTTCTATTTTTATTAAAGTTGTAAAATAAACTAGCCAAGAGAAGAGTACAATGGAGACAACTTATAGACACCAAAGGAAAACGCCATTCTGTGGCAGCCAAACCACTTCTGCTTTCAGTGCTGAAGAACTGAAGGACCAACAAGTAGAGCAAGCAGCCCTACAGCACACTGGCCCACAGGCGTTTGGAGGTTCTTTGGGAACAGGACCATGAACAAACATGAAATCCACCTTCAACACACACATTTATACACAGTTCTTTCAGTGTGCTTTTGTTTTGACTGAAACATGTTACAAGTTAGATGGAATTTTCCACTTGTAGAGTGATGTCAGTACTCAAGAAGTTTTGGATTTTGGAGGATTTCAGATTCAGGATGCTTCACCTAAATTATCGCCCTTAGGGTACATATACAGCTTAGCTGAGATCAGGAAAACCATTGTTACTTAAGACGAATGTCACTCAGCCAAGTGCTTACTGACTGATCAGGGGATGAGAACAATGGCCGCAACTGATCAGGGGACGAGAACACCGTTCCATGGGGTCACTGAGATGGACTACTGACCTTTGGAAGCGTTCATCTGGTGGCTGTCAAATCCTCCAAAGGTCTCTGCTCTCCGGGGCAAGGAAATGGGGCCAACCGTAGCTTCCTGCTCAGCAGGGCTGCTGGCAGCCTGCCCGAGTGTGCCTCCTAGACTTCCACTCACCAAACCCTGAAGGATCTCCACTGCAAAGGAGAGAAGACAAGCAAAGCTGACATCTTCTCTTTTCCAGTGAGAAGGGGGGAAATGTCATGGTAATACATGACAGGTACAGGAACAGGCCAGAAAGTTCCAAGGAGTGATTAGGTGATGCCCTGCCCAGAGAGTCTCAGCTCATGGTGCATGTTTCAATTGGATTCTACTGGTAATCGAAGAGAAACCTTCAACGTTAGAAGGTGAAGCTGGGAGATGTGAAAGAATGCAGGAAAGGCGGAGTGGTTTACTGGAAAGAGCCTGGCTTCTAGAGGGAGAGCCAAAGCAGCCATGAGACGTCCCCAGGAAGGAAGGTGGGTCGACTGGAGGACAGACAGTGGATTCAAGGGGCTAGAGTAGTGGAAACACTTAAGTCTTCAAACTTGACCAACTGGAGTCCCTTCCTGGAGCACAGCTTATAGAGGAAGAAATACTGAAGGTAGAAAACCACTGAGTAGGGGAGGAAAAACAGGCAAACGCAGGTGCATACAGCATAGAAATGGGATCAGAGGCAGGAACACTCTCAGCAAGCCAACGTATAACCCCAAGCACCACACAAAGTAAGTGGTTCTACGGAGGGAGAAAAGCATCTGAATCCACAAACTAAAGAAATTAATTTCATACAAAAATGAGCAACAGGAAAGTTCTGGAGTCAAACCCCATATAACATTAAGAGAAGAGGAGAACAGGGGTTATACCTTGCTGAAAATAATAAAAACAGATCAGAAGGACATGTTCATAAAATAAATGAGCTAATGAATGCATTAACAAAATGACACAAGGCATGAAGGAATTTAACTCACAACTGGAAGCACAAAACCAGGTATGGTGACACACGATGTATCCCAGTTATCAGAAGTGAGTTCTAGCAAGCCTGGGCTGCCTCAAATTTGAATGAACCAATGAATTAAAGAAATGAGTATGGCAGCAGACCACCATGAACCTGGGAACAACCTATTGCAACCAAAAGCAGGGAATATTTTTTTTTTAATTTTTTTTGTCCGGTAGTGGGGGTTGAACTCTGGGCCTGGGCGCTGTCCCTCAGCTCTTCAGCTCAAGGCTAGCGCTCTACCACTCGAGCCACAGAGCCACTTCCGGCTTTTTTCTTTTTGCTTATGTGGTGCTGAGGAATCGAACCCAGGGCCTCAGGCATGCAAGGCAAGCGCTCTACCACTGAGCCACCTTCCCAGCCCAAGCAGGGAATATTTTAATTAGACTACTTTGATAAAACAGTATGAAATACTTTAATTTAAAACTACTCGAAAGCCCTTTGGGCATCTAGGCAAAGAGAATGCATCTGTAGGAAAATCAAATGATCACCAGCTTCTGAAAGCAATGCTTCATGCCGCTATAAAACCAAAAGTAACCTGTGCGAATTAAAACATACGTAGGGGAAGAAAATGCAAGCCAAGGAAAGTTCAAGTATAGGGTGAAAAACTGCTGCCAATAGGCCAGAGTTTAGGGACTATGATACTCAGAATATCCCGAGGTATCTGCAAAGAATCATCTCTGAATCCAGATGTGAATCTGAAGGAAAGAGAGGACTGAACTGCTGTATGAATAAAACAATAGCAGTTCTGTCCTCTGGAGTTTTGAGCTGACTCAAAAACTGCTTGGAAAAAAGGGGAGCAATGGTATGTAAGAAAGTGAATATAGCCGGGCACTGGTAGCTCACACTTATAATTCTAGCTACTCAGGAGACTTAGATCTGAGGATTGCAGTTCAAAGCCAGTCTAGGCAGAAAAGTCCGTGAGACTCTTAGCTCCAATAAACCAAAAGAAAACCAGAAGTGGCGCTTTGGCTCAAGTGGTAGAGAATTTGACTTGAGCTGAAGAGCTGAGGAACAGCGCCCAAGCCCAGAGTTTAAGCCCCATGACCACCACCACCACCAACAACAAAAATTGATTACAAGCTGGGAAGCTGCTTTCTTTTGGAGGGAAGTACATGGAGGGGTTTGATTCAGGGAGTTTGGCTACATTTTGAATTTCTGACCTGGGTAGTGGTTACAGTTTATCCGTGAAGTAACTGTTTGGGATATTTCCTAATATTGGTGCTGTACATTACAATATCGAAGTGAAAATGTGTGAATAACATCGGTGTATCAGCGTGTAAATCACTCTGGGATGAAGGGGGGAATATTGAGTGAAAACCACTCTTACCCTCGCTTATTGCACTTTTCATCAAAGGTCCTCCTTTGGGGGCCTCCTCGGTGTTGGCTCGGAAGAGGGCTCTAGGGCTGTGAGTTGGGGAACAAGCCTCTGGCAAGGGAGTACTGCACTCGCTCATGTCTCGAAAAATCATCTCCTTCTCTTCCAGCAGGAGGAGGATCTGCTGGTCCTTCTGCTGAAGTTGCTCTGCAGGTGTAAGGAGAAAGGGATCTGATTTATCTTCTGTTGAGGTTTACTAGATGAGCAGCACGTGAGCACCACCTTGTGGTCATTTCTGAGGTGCCGTAGGGCAGAAAGCATGTACGCAGGAGGGCACGCACACACATCAGGAAGGCAATATGATTTCTACCCAGAAAACCTCTAGGGTCTCTTCCAAACACTGTTTCTTCTGACACAGGTCTGCCCCTGGTTTTGCCTACCTTCCTTGGCTCCAACTGAAGCTGCAGTTTCTGCAGTTTCCCATCTTTCCCAGAACTGAAAATCACTCTTTAAAACAACTCCAGTCCCCCACTGTGATGACATCAGTCTCTTTCGGCCACTCTCTTGGGGCACTTGTAGTACACGTTGCTCTCGGTGATCTCACTTGAATACCTCCTCTATACCAATCATTGCAACTCAAATCTACTTTCTTTGCTGAACACCAGAACAGTGTGTTCCACTATCAAATGGCCAGTTCTACCAGATGCCTCATTCTTAGGATAAGAAAAGTTTCTTTCCCAGTGTTGTCAATCCACCTCCTCCAGTAGGCTTACATCTTCTCCCATCAGCCCTTTCCATTCTCCAGGCTATCCAACTCAGGAGAGACCTTGCCTCCTTCTTTTGTCCTACCATCTACCCCCACTTGCCAGATTTTAATAACCCTATTTCCTACTCCCATCTGTCCTCTCTCTAGCTCACCTCTCGCTGAACCTAAGATTTTCACAATTCGTCTGCTTCTATGGCTCTCCTATTTAGATGTGCAATTCTCTCAACAGGCTTCAACAAATATAAATTTGTAAACCATTCTATCATCTCCTTACTTCGTGACACAGAACCTCCCAGCGTAAGCTCCCATCACTGGTCCTGACCCTGATGTACCAACTTCTTCACGCAGATATTCTTAGATGGTGTGCTGTCAGATGGAGCTCATCAATCTGTTCTTCTGAGACACGTACACTTCCACAGCCCACTGATCCACTAGAACACTATGTGTTCTACTCTCGTTTAGGTATCCTTTGCATGAGGGTGAGCTTCCTTAGGACAAGGGCTGTCTTTTAGGAATCCGCATCCCTGCCCTGAGCAATACACCTAAGCCAGGTGCTTAACAAATGCTGCCAGAAGGAAGGCTTCATCCTTGTCAACGAGGACACAACTCCGGCTCTGGTCTAAACCTGGCCATCTTTATTTTTCCTCCAATGAAATAGAACACTGTCACCCTGTACAGCTGGAGGGACTAATGAACTCACAGCTACATACACATACTAGACTCAGGGCCTCATTTCTACAGTGGAAGGTTCCATATGCCACTGGCAAAAGGGGAAAAGTATACCAGACCCCATTATTTTTAAAACAGGGATTAGAACCAGATGTGGTGGCACACATCTGTAATCCCAGCACCTGGGAGGCTGGAGCTGGAAGATGCAGAGTTTGACTTCACCCTGAGCTACAAATCAGAGATATGGAATGGAATGTGGTTCGGTCTCTAACTACACATTTGGCCCTGGGATGTTTTTGCCCTCAGAGAGTCAACTGTCTCCTCTGCACAATGGATCAAAGAGTTCTTATAGGGATGTTAGCAAGACTTTACACAACAGCAGGTACTCAGTATATGGTGGCCAGACATGATCAATAAGTACCTTTTGGGGCTGGAAAGATGGCTTAGTGGTAGAGTGTTTGCCTTGCATGCTTGAGGCCCTGGGTTTGATTCCTCAGCATCACATAAGCAGAAAAAAGATGGAAGTGGTGCTATGGCTCAAGTGGTAGAGCGCTAGCCTTGGACTGAAGAGCTGAGGGACAGTGCCCAGGCCCTACAACTGACAAAAAAAAAAAGTGCCTTTCTACTGAGACCACCTCACAAGCCATCTGTGAACCTATGAAAGCCAGTGACTACTAATGGGAGGACTGGAACAGATTGGCTAGAGACATGTTTTCACAAATTCCTTTCTTTCTCTGCCTTAACCCTAGCTGTGACTATGAAATCTGGCAAATTCTCTGTGACGAGGTACGAAGAAAGTACCTCTACACTCCTAGAAGTCCAATGACAAGACCAGACAATCAACATTCCCCCTGGATCTGGTACTTAATTCTTCCTGCCATTCTCTGCCAGGACTCATTTCCCTGTTGCCAAGGCTGGCAGAGACAGCTCTGGAGGGAAGAGCAACCTAGGCCTCTGGAAAACAGAAGCATCTTGTGCAACCATGGATATTTCACAGACAAGGACCCCAGGCTACCTCTGACAGTTGCTTACCTTTTAACTCCCGGGCTTTGGTGTCTAACATTTTCTTTTCTTCCTCATTCTCACTAGGAATTCCTTCATCTTCATCTCTATTCCTAACACAACCGAAACAAAACAAGACAAAGATTCCTAAGAAGTCAATGACTCTAGTCACTACCCAGTCTGTTATGAAATTGTATAGTTACTAACAGGGCAGGGAGGGGTGGGCTGTGGCAGTTCACGTACAGGGTGTTGATTGTATCCTGGATGATCTGAATCCAGCTGTTCCGCTCCTCTTTGGAGCTGGCGTGGACCTCCACCATCTCTGGATCTTTCACCCCCATACTAATTAGGAACAGACCTTTCTCCTCATGTGCCACTTCTCTGACTATCAGCTTCTTTAAAGAGATCACCGTTGATTTCTGGTCCTGCATAAAGGGCAGAGGAAAGACTTAGGCTGTGTAAACAACTGGGTAGCTCTTGAGGACTACACTGACCTTAGCTAAGACCACATGCCTGTTTAAATGTTTACTACCATTTTTTAAAAAATGGCAGGTAAGTAAAGTAAATGGTAAGTAAAGAGAAATATCTCAATACTGCACTCAAATTTTAACAGAAAGATTTCCAGAATGAGATGACAATTTATGGCCATAGTTCTCTAGTCACATCTTGTACATGATGAATCTGAACAGGTTCCCCAAAGAAACACTGGTTAGCAACATCTTCTATGGGCAACAGTCATGTGAGTAAATACAGAGGTTAACCATCAATAATGCTCAGGGCAGTCCGAGGAACTGTGAGAGGACAGAAACAGAATTCCGCCAGCCAGTGGGAAAGATAATGGAAACTCCCCAGGGTATGTGAGAAATTACTCAAGAGGAGTTTTTCCTGGGTCGATTAATTTTCAGAGGGTAGGTGAGGCCATCATAGAGTGTTTACATTCCATACACTCAACCTAGCTGTTTGGGATACTATTAAATCCAAACGGAAGACAATCCAGCTTACCAATGATGCGAAGATGTATTTCTGGTCCTTTTCTTGAAGGAAAACCAAAATGTCAGAGAGCAGAACCGCTTGCACCTCTGGAAAGTGGAAAAAGGGAATAAGATGAGCCCAGTGACTACTGAATGGCTAATCAAGTGCAGAAGGCTTTCAATGAAGAAGGTGCAGCAGCATACCTCCAACAGCCAACTCTACTCTAAGAACACCCCTTCCTCTCCTCCTAAGCAACACCGTTTTACAATTCTGCTCCAGGGATGCTCCCCGCCACTCATCCCTCTCCAGGGATGCTCCACCCCACCGGCCCCTCTCCAGGGATGCTCCACCCAACCTGCCCCTCTCCAAGCATGCTCCTCCCACCCGCCCCTCTCAAAGTGTGCTCCACAGGGCACTGGCTGTCCTTGGCATACATTCACTTGAGGACGAACATGACTAAACAGCAGCTCCTAGTTCCTTTGTAGCCATTTCAAGCCAAAGAACCTATTATTCTGCCACTTGCTTGACTGCAACTTGGTTCTACCAGCTGGGATCTGTTCATTTTGTTTGAAGAACATATAAATTGCAATGGCAAAGGAAAGAAAAGAGTGCTGGCTCCAGGCAGCAGCCCTAGGAAATCAGGTCCTCATAAGAAAAAGTAGAGGACTCTGATGCCACGCCCGCATAGAAGATGGGCTGCAGGAGGCAGTGTGAACAGAGTTCTGAGCTAGGGCTCTCAGCACATCACTGAAACCAAGGCTGAGATTCAGGCAGGTGCCTTACTTTAAGCTCATCACAGAGTAATGGAAGTACATAGCCACTGGTGGCAGCAAGAGGTCTTCTGAAATTATTCTGCCCTTTTCCTTAATACCTATTCTTCCTTATCACAGGAACGCCAGCACCTTCCTCCACCACCATTCATCATGCCTTCTACTCCAGCACTACCCCTCGCACAGTATACTTGGGCTAAGGCTCCTTGAGTGCTACAATGGTCAGCTACAGCATCACAACTCCAAGATGAGAAGAACATGCGTTCCCCCCATTTCTCTAGGAAGTGGAGCTGACAGCAGGGCCTGGCCTGCTGCAGACCCTCAGCTCCACAGCCAAGGGGAAAGGACTGATATAGGCAAGGTTGATCAGAGGTCATAGCTCACGTATAGATTCAGCCAGTATGGGTTTGATGAAAACAACTGTTTTTAAAACTTTTTTAGAAATCGAAAATAAACCTTCCAACCTCTTTGATTTAGTGTGGCTGACCATGTGGAAAATGAAAATTATTAACCAAAGGGAGAGTGAGTCATAGTTATGACCTCTCTGGCTTTTGGGAAAGATAAAGGAAGCAAATATGAAGTGTAACAAGGTCTAGTTGAAGCAGGTTGGTGACCTTTCTTCAAGGCCTCAGGAACCACGAAGCCCGCACCTAGCCCCTCCTCTGGAGGTCTCACCACACCTTGTCTATTTCCCATTTTCCCCATTGCTTCATTTGTTTACCTCGTGGCGCTTTCTATGATTCTGTAAGCTATCTCAAACCGTCCTTTCTGATCTAAGATTACCAATAATTAAATGTAGCTCCTGTGTGATGTCTGCACATGGCTCTCAGGGAAGAAGAAACTTGTGGTGATCTTCCAACAAATACTTGTGGGCGGGGCCTACTCTTCCCAGGGACATCGACGCAGACAGAAGTGAGCCAGCTTACCTTTCAGCCTTCCTGTGACACTCTTCAGAAACACACTCCCGTCACGTACCAGCTTCTTCCTTTTCAAGTCCTCCTTCGCAAACATCTGCCCACTCTTCATCCTCATGATCGACTTGCTGTCTGTCTTCGTGTAAATCTCACTGAGACGTACCTTCTTCTCATAACTTGCTACTTTGCTGTCTACAGCTCCAATCACATCCTTCACCAGGCTCAAGGACTGAGCTAGATCTTCACGTTCCACTTCATTGTCTTCAGGAAGAAAGAACAGTGCTGCTTTTAATGGCTGTTCTCTTCCAACAAGAGAAGGGGAGGGAATCATGCCTCCCTGTCCACAGGAACCATTTTCTCTTTGTGGTCATGCTGTCAGAGTGAAGCCAACACACTAGCTCATGTCTCCTCTTTTTCTTCTGTCCTAAGTTTTAATCTTAAAGGCAGTTAACAGTTTTCAATGCTATGAATCAGATATAATTGGTTGCTCCATTCTTAAATGAAAGAAGCCAAATGTCTTTAGGACAAAAGAATAAAAGTAGAACAAAGAGCAACACGTTATTTGCACACAAGGAGATTGTGTTCAGCTGGACAGGTAGCTCAGATTTATAATCCCGGCACTCAGTGGGCTAACATGGACCATCATATGTTTGAGGCCAGCTGAGCTATATAGTGAAACTCTGTTCAAAAAAGTAAGAAACCACCAAACAATAAAATCAGAAAGAAGGAAAAAAAGTCTTCAATCTAAATACACTATCTCTTCTAGACTTACTAGAGGATGAAACAGCTCACGCTGGCAAACAAGATGTGCTTAGAAGGGGACCTACCTTTGGTGCACTGTAATATTCTTTGGAATAAAACTGGATATTTGGTGATTCTCTGGGTTACAAGTAAGATGCACTCTGGGATTCCAAGTCTCCTCACCAACGAACTGCCCATCTTCTTCTGCAAGGGAGAAGACACCGTTAGGAACAGCATGAGAGAGTAAGCCCTGGCTACTGCCCAAGCAATGGGGTCACATGTCATCCTTCAGTACCTTTACAAAAGCCTGGAAGCGCTTATCCTTTGTGCAAAGGTCTTTGAAATAGTTCACAGACTGGTTGTGCTGGCCACAAAACTTGCCATATACCTTCTTTAAGCGTTCCGCATTCTCACCCGAAAACTGCAGAGGACAGAGGACAGTGATTCTGTGTAATTTAGGGTGCCATTCTGTAAAAAGCTGCCAGTGTATTCGTTATCCCTCTCCAATAAACTGGTATAGTGACTTTGGAAATCAGTTTGGAATTTCATCAAATGGCTTAAAATAAGGTTCCCATAAAGACCCAGCAATCCCACTCCAAGATGTATACCCAAGAGAAATAAAAACATACATCCACACTAAGACTTAAATAACAAATATTCACGGCAGCGTTATTTATTCATAATAGCCCGCAAGTAAGAAAAACAGAAATGTTCATTAATGGAACAATGAAATACTGTATGGGTTTGAAAAAGGAATGAAATACCGTTAACATGCTATAATTTGTTTTTGAGGTACTAAGGAGTGGACACAGGACCTCACACATACCAGCCACATGTCCTACCAGTTGGGCCATGCTCCACAATTTTTAAGAATCATGTAAAAAGGCCATTCACATTTCCTATTCCATGGATGCAAAATGTCCAGAAAAAGCAAATCCAGAGATCAAGAACAGTAGTGGATGCCTAGACCTGGCACTGACTACTGCCAAGTGGGGGTTTCCTTCTGGAGGGATACAGATGTTCAAATTCACTGTGATGATGTCTGCACAACTGGGAATATACTAAAAACCATTTAGCTGTATACTTTTTTCTGATACTGGAGACTGAGCTCAGGGGCCTTGTACCTGCTCATGGCTGGTGCTCTACCACTTAAATTGTGCCTTCAGGCAGGCTTTATGCTGATTAATTGGGGGTAGATTCTTATAGACTTTTCTGTCCAGGTTGTCTTTAAACAGTGATCCTCCAGATCTCAGCCACTGGGACCCAGCTAATTGTACATGTAAAAAGGGTAGATTATATAGGATATGCCTTTTATCTCAATAAAGCTACTATTTATCTTTAAAAACAAAGTCAGATATACCTGTGTATTGTGTGCATAAGAAATGCAAATGTGCTTTAACTTTCACTTGTCATGAACGCAGTAATAAATAAACAAAACTAAGTTGTTTTTTTTTTTATGAGGCACTCTTACAAATGTGATCTCAGTAAGTTAGATAGGGTTTGGGTATAGCTTAGTGGTTAGCACTTGCCTAACACATGAGGCCTTAGGAGCAACATGCTCAGAGTGCACCATGGGTAAATAATGAGGTTCTTCCAAAAGGTCCTGAGGGTGAGCCATGGTACCACATGTTCACAATCAAGTTAGAGGAGCATCAGAAACATCTATTTTTCCTTAGGTTCAGGCAAGCAGTTCTAGTAATTCTACATGGTCCTTCAATTCCCAAAATCCATGCAATCTCAGCTGTCTATATAAACATATGTTTATCTTGGGATAAATCAAGCACCTTCTGCATGGAGTCTATCTGATGCATGCTAAACTGTGATTTCCATGACCTAAACACCTTTGGAGGCAACCAAATTTCCTTGTCAAAAATGCAAGAGGATGCTGGGCAGTCCCCAATGGGGAACCGGAAGCAGAGAGATCCTTCAGTTACTTGCTTTTACTATAAATCAAAAACTCCAAAAAGGTTGACACTGGCACTGGCACACAGAACAACAAATGCACATTAGGGGACTGGTGTTTGAATCCTAGCATCAAAGATCTTACTGAAAGGGAATGTACAAACACAAGGAGATACAAATGATAAACAGGTAGCGGTTAGATGAGGTACCTGTGCAGGTCCTGAGCGCAGAGAGGAGGCAGAAAAAGAGAAGCGGAAAGTGTTTGGAAGAGAGATGACCAGGGAGCAAAGGCTCTCATTTATGGGGTTCCACTTTTAGGCTCTGACTGTTGCACATTCCTTGGTCTGCATTTCCTAACATGCCTGGTTTTACTCCTAGAGGCCCCCTCCGGAGATGGAAGTCATAATCACCAGAGACTGCACCTGGCGTTAGTGGGTGCTCAATGTTACCTGAATAAAAACTAAATCAATGAAGTGAGGGGAATGGGTTCAAGGATACAAGGAAATTCTCAGACTAATGTTCTGGCAAGGAAGCCTCTGCATCTGCACAGAGACTGTGGTTTGCTGGAGGAAAAAGATCTGGCCACATGGGTTGCACAGCACCCTTCTGTCAAAGGTATGCTTCAGACGCTTTTTCAAGAGCAGTATTTTTTAAAGAAATATTTATCAATAGCTGCTTATGACTGACACATTTTAAAAAGCATCAAGATAAATTTTAGCTAAATGTTTTGAGACTGAAATATCACCACTTCATTCAAAATCAGTGGTAATACATATTTTAGGAAGTATTTTACAGATTGTGTCTTGATACAATTTCTAGGCTTCAGCTGGTTTGAAGTTGAATGACATCCTTCTAATCTGAGCCATAGGGGAAGCTTAAGACTTCCAACAAGTATTCTTCATCTCTTAAATTATATTGTTAAAACAGTATTGTTTTGTGACGATGGCATGGACTTTGAGAAAGAAAAAAAAGAACCTTTAATTATGTATCAACCTCTTCCTGCATTTCTAAAATTGCATAAACAAGAGAAATCCTACCGTCTTTTTGTAATTAGGGGGAGGCATGCAGGTCCTGGGGCTTGAACTCAGGACCCGGGAGCTACCCCTGTTTTGTGCTCAGGACTAGTGCTCTATTACATGGGCCACAGAGCTCCGCCTCCTCTACTGTCATTGTTTTTAGAAAGGAAATTGAAGCTCTGAGAATTTAGCTTCCCTAAGCCTACCATAATACACAGTTGAGTCGAGATGTGAATGGTAAGGTACATGAACTTGAAACCCATTTGCTCACCTGATTTATAAGCACATCCCCTATCCTCTTGATAAGAAAGTTCTTTTCACTTTTATCCACCAGAGATTCCTTCTTCCGCTCCAGGATCCTCTGAAGGAACTGGCTATGGATACTGATGAGCTCGTCCAAACAGGGGAACAGCTTGTCCACCATCTGCTGCTCAAAAAGCAGCTCTGTCATCATCCCCCGGCTGTACACGTCACTCATGATCTTGAGCGTGCGGATGTGATGGAACTCAGTCTGCATCAGTTCTAGGAGAACAGGGACCAAGGGGCCGTCAAAGGTCATTTGCTGCAGTCACATTTGAGCCTGACCTAAATTTTTAAACTGAGTCAACAATTGTTTTTCCCTTAATGTGTTCTCATCTAACGCTGTACATATGACTTAACATATTCTGATGATAGGTATACTGGATTCTAAATAAATAGTATTGGTTAGCTTCAGCAACTCTCAGAACTGACCTATGTCCCTTCTCTTTCTTGTTGCACCTGAGGAACAGGTTTTCAGAACAGACCTCTCTGGTCCCCAGGGGCGCTATACAACAGCATGTAAACAAGCTGATTAAAAGAACAAAAAGTATCTAGAACGGGGAAGATGGATGTACCAGTAAGCCCCTATCATATACCCCAGTTTTTAAACAAAATCTTTAAGATGCACAATTTTCAAAAATTGACTTTCCTTTCAGCAAATCAGTTTAAAAACATACCATGCAAATAAGAAAAAAAAATCAAATAAATTAAGAATCTCACCGTAAATTACTTCTTGTTGTTTGACGATGTCTTTCTTCTGTTGTTTCAGAAACTTGCTGTCCACAATCTGACTCCAGGACTCAGCTTCTAGCTGCTTGGAATCAGTCTCAAAGTCTCCCATTAGCTGTCCTTCATTCATGTCTGTGCCTACTCCTCAAGATATACAAAATTTATCTCAGAATCTTGGGTTTGTGACCTCTAAAAAGGTAGACTTCCCTCGAGATAACAGATGCCTTCATAAGATAAATACTCTCTACATTAATTCAGGGGACATCCACAGAAAGCGTATCCTGGTATGAGAAAAGAATCAATGTCCTGATTGGGAGTGACAGGCTCTATTCAAAACTGGCTAAGAATACAGACATCCCGTATGTAATTTCAACATGACTGAGACACAATTCCTATGTAAAGCTGGACAGATGCATTCTGCCTCTAAGAGAACAGGCTTACAATGTGTACACAAATACATCTGTATGAAAGAGTATGCCCACATTAAAAGTAATAGCATCCTTCCACAGACCCAACGATGGGGTTACCAATTCATTGTAATGCATTTGATGCTTCCCAGACAAATCAGGGATTCTCCAGTTAGGGCACAGGAACAGCAGATGCTATTACTAACTGTAGTGGAAAGAATGGCGCACCATCGCTACAAAGGCATATGATATAGGCCAACACGTCCTCTTACCTTCGTCAGTGAGTGACTCTGTGGACTCGTTCACTTTGCAGATTTTATTCAGTGAATCTGTTGAATGAGACAGGAATTTCCAGGTGTTTGACATGTTCTCATCATTGCCGACTCTGGGAACAAAAAAAATAAATATACTGTTTAAATATATCATCATATCATCATCATATTCTTAAACAAGTACCAGAAAAACTTGAACATGATAGCTGGCTCTATGTTCTATGATGACTCAGGACAAACTGCTCATATCAGGATCTACAGCAACATGAAATATTATTAATAGTGTTTTGAAGTATTTAATCTCAAAACTGTTTCAATTGTTTTGCTAAACAGCAGGGCACTTTCTTCTCAGAAATAACCTATTATGTAAGAAATGTCTGTTTAACGCGTATTGTGTAACCACTCCATTTTCCCCGTTTCCTAAAAATCTGTAAAACTGTGTGCTTAAACTATAGTGGTTGCACTTTCTCTACCTCAGTTCATAAGCTAACATCACAGACACCCAATATATGTTATACAAAAGACTGATCTTTCAAAGTCATAATCAAATAAACATTACAATCATGAAAGAAAGACTTAAGGAGATCATGAAAATACAAAAATAAAACAAAAGAAGCCCTAAAACTTTTTTGAAGAAAAAACATTATCCAGCACAGAGGTTTAAAAATACAGATAAAGAGCTCAGAGACAGCGCCCAGGCCCAGAGTTCAAACCCCACTACCAACCGACCCCCGACCCCACAAAACAAAAATATAGATAAAAGGAAATTGTGGCATCCTTAGTTAAGAAGTCTCCTCCAACCCAGCTTAGGAAATAGAAGAGATGTGGAGATCCAGAACTCTTGTAAGGACCACAAAAGCATTACAAGTGAGTGGGTAGAAACCTGTCCCAAACTCACGTCTGCAAAATGCCTCTTTTAAGAGACAAGGAAATAAGATTTAGAAGGAAACAAAACCACCAGGTTCACTGGAACAATACAAGAACATGAAAATCTTATAATGTGGGTTGGTTGTAAAAATATCCAATTAAGTTATATCCCCCCCACTTCCTTATTTCTATTTAAAACTCATCCATTTTTCCTCTCTTTTTGACAGCATTGCAGTTTGAAGTTAGGGTCTGTGCTTGCTTGGCTGTCACTCTATCACTTGAGCCAAGCCTTTTGAGATGGAGTCTCACGTACTTTTCTGGCTTCCAAGTGCTACCTGGAGATCTCAGTTTCCTAAGGAGCTAGCATTACAGTTGTGAGCCAACAAATGCCTGGCTTAAAGAACATCTTTTTATATCTCAGGTTCTTCAAAAGTGGAGTGAGGTCATATATAAATGTCTTACGTATCCCAGCTTGACAATGGTACATAAAAGGGACCCTGACGCAGAACAGCAGTCCCTGATGGGACAGGAATACTGCCCTGGCTGTCAGAACCACTCAACTGGCATCAAACCATTATTTACACATCCGACTCTAAAGGAACACTTCCTCAGATGATGGGATTGTTATGTCCATGTCATCCAGTGGTCAACTGTGCTATCTCTAAACCAACTCACCCAGTAATGTTCTGTATGGAGACACTTTTGGACAGTGAGACGCTCTGCTGGGATCGCCTGTTGGCAAACACTGGGGCAGCAGAGGCGTCACCCGCTAGAAGGACCGCAGATCTAGGACGTTCCTTGGGCTGTGAGGCTGCAAAGGAAGACAGCACATTAAATGAAGCATCCCTGTCCACAATGACTGATGCTGGCTTACCTGACAAATGCACACAGAAGCACAACATTTTAAAATAGGCTAGCCCTTGGAATATGACAGTGTAAGATCGTGGAGACAGTTTGACGACAGCTACTAAACTCTGATCCAATAATTCTACATCTAGAACAACGTAGTTTTACACCCGTCTTCAAGAATGTATGCAAGTTATTCAATGTAGCGTTGTTGAGAAAAGCAAAAGATTGGAAATGACAAAAGTGACCAGCAAAAAGGACTTGACTAGTAAGATGCAGGGCTGAGTGTGGTGGCAAATGCCATGTGATATTGCACAGCTAAGGCAGGACAGGGAGTTTGGGTGAAACACAGAGGTCAACAACAAAACAGCCTTCGCAAAATAAGGACATTCTCCATGTACAAACTGTGGTCAGAAGTAACACACACAAAGAATCTTTCACATGGGCTGGGAAGGTGGCTCAGTGGTAGAGCGCTTGCCTTGCATGCATGAGGTCCTGGGTTCAATTCCTCAGCACCACATAAGAAAAAAGAAAAAAGCCAGAAGTGGCACTGTGGCTCCAGTGGTAGAGCGCTAGCCTTGAGCTGAAGAGCTGAGGGACAGCACCCAGGCCCAGAGTTCAGGCCCCACAACCGGACACTCCCCCCCCCAAAAAAAATCTTTCACATAAAGAGCTTTTGGAGAAAGAAAATAGGCTTCTGAAATAAGGGATAATGTCACACGAAAACAGGTTAAAGTTAGTAAGACGGATGGGCTGGACCACAGACGGAAGTCGATGTCAGTGTGACCAAGTGACTTGTCTAGCCATCTGCATGCAAATATGGATATAGGCTACACTTAAAGTGTCTGAAGGGAGTTCATATTCTTCCAGGGGAGTACAGACAGGTATAGCCATTCTCAAGCTCTGCAGTACTCAAGAGAAATGAGGCTTATGGCAGTGGCACTCACCTAGAAGATCCATTAAAGCACAGATTACTGGGCTCCACTTGGGAGTTCATGATGCACAGTTGTGGGTAGGACCCAAGAAGCTGCACAACTAATTGCTCCTGGAACTATACAGTGAAAACACTACCTTGGGCAAGTCTCACAGGTTCCCATGGAACCAGTGAAAAAAGACTACATTACTTGTCAGCAGTTAAAAGTAAGTGAGGGAAATCGATAGCTGAATCACACTATCTGCTTAGGGAAAACAGAGAAATCTGAAACAAAGGCTTCTAACAATCACCTGTGCCTCAACAACACAATGGGGGAAAAAGTGAGAACATGTAAGTATGAAGTATATCACCTAAATGAACAACAGACAAAACAGATGAATAAATTGACAGAAAAGGCAGATTAGAAAGACAAACACTAAATACTATAATAAGAATGAAATAAGAAATAGAGAATTAAGAGGGAAAACTAGTAAGGAAAACCACAATGAAGCCTTGCATAGACTAGTGAATGGCTGAGCATGATTTACCCAGTTTTTAACACTTGAGGTCTTTGAGGTGGGGGAAAATGAACCAATTACATAATTTCACAATTCATAAATAAGTTTAAGTAGCAAGACTCAAACAACTGGGAGGTGCTATAATCAAGTACTTAAGCCCACAGCTTGCTAAAGAGGAGACTGGGTTTCCTAATTGCACAGGGGTCATTTACTCACAGTGGGGTCTGCATCACTGCCTTTCAAGCTAGCACACGTACTGTTGATTACAGAAAGTGTGTGGTGATAAATAGCATGGGTAAAGTGCTTTCGTGAGAAAATACTGCTACTGGTCAAGGAAGCTGCAGGCTGAAGCAGCAGCTTCATCCCACTGTGGTCGTCCTGAATAGGTAACTCAAAAATCTTGATGAGGAATGATAAATAAAAGCATTACATTATCAAGCTGCAGCCAGACCACTGGAAAGGACATCAGAGAGGTAGCTCATCTACTTACGCTTGTTCCTCATGATGACGGTGGGCAGTGACGACGTGTCATGTGCCTGGAGGGTCCCTTTGGGCTGCTAGAGAAAAAGAGAGTGAACGCATGAAGACTGCACAGGACTGCCCGCTTCTACCAATGTGGGGATGTTGCTGCTTTTCCCAGGCTTGCTTTGCTCACTTCCTAGGCAAGGCATTCTTCCCTCTTCTTAGCCAAGACAGCAGCCGAGCCCCCCACAGAAAACCTCGCAGATCCCTCCAGAAAGCTCATCCTCATTACAGTAACTGCCTGTCTTCTCACTAGACTGCTGGTTACTGATGAGGAGCATCTCTGCCCTTTTCATTCCTGTTTTGCTACTGACTAGCCTTTATACATTGTCAAACTCTTATAAAATGCTTAGTTAGGACTTGTAGTGAAATATAACAAAAAATACTTTGAGAAATTGTAGACTGAAACATTTAAGAAGAGAGAAATCCCTAACATGAACTGTTCTAGTTAGGTTACATTGTTACACACAAGAGATGCAACTCAAGCTCTTCTGCAGAACCCAGTGCATTCACAGTATTCACGGTGAAGTCTTAGCACAGATGCCCAACTCCAGTATCTGTAAGGTCAGACAGCTAACAAATGGGAGAAAGTAGTGGAGAGATGATTTAAAACTTGTATATCCTTAAGAAAGAAGCTGCGTGACTACTTGCTACGCATCATGCCAGCTTTTAAGGAACTATAAACCTGACACCATCCTGGATGTTTAAAATCTATAAATGTGGCTGGGAATGTAGCTTACTGGTAGAGTGTTTGCCTAGCATACATGAAGCCCTGCATAAGATTCCTCAGTACTACATACACAGAAAAGGCCAGAAGTGGCATTATGACTCAAGTGGTGGAATACTAGTATTCGAACAAAAGAAGTTCAGGGACAGTGCCCAGGCCCTGAGTTCAAGCCCCAGGACTGGCAAAAAAAAAAAAAAAAAAGTAAAATTAAAAATCTAAAAATGGATCAATGATTCCTGACTTCGGGTCTGTTGGCAATTTATGTTTGGGGGGGAGGTATGGACCACAGAAAGTAAATATAATAAAAGATGGTTAAAAAACAGACTGAGAAGGTAGTAAGTATTACCTGTGGGGGAAAAAAGCAGGGTAAGAATTGTAAATGATGACAAAAAAGCACCCAGGGTTGTATGATCATTCAAATTTTCAGGAAAAATTAAAAATTCAAACTGACAAAAAAAATGTGTGTGCATGCATATATATGGGAAGGGGGTGAGGAGAGGAGCAGTATTGGATGTGAACTCAGGACTTAGTGCTTGCTCAGCTTGCTTGCTTGGAAGATGTTCTACCACTTGAGCTATACTTCTAGCTCTGCTTTCTGCTGACTATTCTGGAGATGGAATCTCAAAGACTTTTCTGGTCTGCCTGGCAGAAAAGGTCCTCCAGATCAGCCTCTTATTTAGCTAGGATCAATAGTGTGAGTCATGGACACCAGGCTTAAGTAATTTTTAAATAACGGCACAACCTCAAAATTAAAAAACAAATACTGCATGTCTGAGTGTGATCAGGGATACGGAAGTTGTCTTCTTTCAAGAGGTTCAGTGCTTCTCAAAGGGAAGACACGTAGAAACTCATCAGAGTGCAAATTCCTGGGCCCCCTCTCAAGTATGAAATCCTGGGGGCAGCACCCAGTAAGTTTCCTCTAGTAAGCCCTTGAGGCCAGTGTACCAAGACAAACGTATCTGGTTTTCAACAAAGCACATACAACGTTGGGCATGCATACGTACAGCTGGAGAGTCTCTTCAGGTAAGGATTGAAAACAGTCTTCCTAAAAGGCTACACCCAAACTCACACTGTTTCTCTACAAACCACTGGAAAAGCAGCACAGTCCCCTATCCATCATGTATCACAAATCCCTGAATCCCTGCTGCCTTCCTCATGGTACTACATACAGAAGTAACAGTGGAGTTGGTGAGGTAGCTCAGTGGTAAAGCACTTGTTTACCATGTTCATTGACCTTCGTTTGATTCCCAGCACCACAAAAATAATAAAAGAGTATAAGCTTAAAATAAAAAAGAGCAGTAGATCTGCAGATATGGTTAAAAAGAAAACTTTAATATTAACATAAACATTAAATTAGCAGAGAAACATATATTTTAACATGTAGGGGCTCTGAATGCTTTCGTTTACTAAGATTCTGAAATTCCTGTATTAACTGAGAACTAATTAAAGAAAAATTGCCTTTCAATTATTCTGGTTAATTTTAGTTGAGACTACGTGATTAAAGCAAAACAAAACAAAACCCATCAGAACTTCAATTCTCATGACTCATGAGAGTTTTGCTAATCTAAATGCTTCTAGTTTAAGCTTCTTCAAAACCAGAAATTTCTTACCTTCATTTTGACCTTCGCACAGGAAGCCAGACTTTCTCTGCAGCCTTTGTGGACAAAAGCACTGCAATCTGAAAAGAAAGGAGAAGTCAAGTCACAATAAGCAGCAAGGAGCCTGTGGATTTTCAAGTGAAGTCATCCACATCCCATAACTGAAACTACATTTTGCAGTCCTCTTCTCAGAAGCCGGCCTCAGATGATATCAGGAGGAGAAACAAGAACAGATGTGACTTCTGATTAACAAAAATGTGCAACTTCCCAAAGAGGAAGCCTGAGCAGCTACCAAAATATAAACACATAGTTTGCCTTGCTGCTGATTTGTATGCTGAAATCACAAGAAAACATATGAACAAAGCCAGTAACAGGAGTTATAAATTTTGTGTTACTGTTCCCAATCGCAGGGTGTAGATTTGAACATTTATCTTCCACGTGGGGGCTCAACTACCCTGACCTTTTTGCAACGTGCTCTGACTCAAGAGCCACACACACAAAGGTGATTACAGCTCTCCCCAAACTCCCTGGGAACCCTGACTTAAGAAAAGGGAGGTCTCCTGAGAGATAAAAGTGACTACAAGCTTGCCAAAATAGAAAGACTTCAATTCAGAACACTTCTGATTTCTCCTTTCCTTGTTCTACAAGGTCCACTGCTCAAGAACTGTTTTGGGAAAGGTCATCGCTAGCTCTTACTGCTGAGATGAAGTCATGAAAAAGAACTGTGCCAAACAAAAGGTCAGGGATGAAGATCTGCCCTTGGGGACGACTGAGAAGCAATCTCTCCTGGGAGAGGCTCACTCAGGAAGTCAGCGCAGACAGCATCCCCTGGGTAATGTTTCAGGAAGTGTACTAACAGGTCCAGCCTTGGCCAACTCATGAAATGCGGGTGGAAGGGGGGAATGATGATTTCTGAAGATCAGACTATGGACTACAGGGGAGGAGAGAGGATGGAATGGTAATAGCCAAGGGTGTGGTAACAGTTACTTTGACAACAGTTGCTCCTGCCATGCCCACTTGGTTCCCAGGACTTTCCCTAAATCCCTGTTTTAGAATTCTGCTAGGTTTTTCCTCCTTCACTGTGTTCTTCTGCAGTATGGATGTGTGTATCCATTGCTAAACCTAACTCTCCAGGACAGTCAATGCCTAGATTATGGCACCTTTAAAAATGTTTCTCTGTAGACCTCACACCTTTTTTTTTTTTTTAAATCTAAGCCAAGTGCTCTGACACAAACTATGTCAACTATTAACACCAAAAGGCGAACAGGACACAAATAGTTGTCAAGGGACATTAGATTTGGGCCCTGGTCCTGTAGATCACTGTGACTCTCCTCAGGCCTCGGTCTCTTCATCTATAAAACATAAATAGCTGGGTGCTGGTGGCTCATGCCTATAATCCTAGTTACCCAGGAGGCTAAGATCTGAAGCCAGCCTGGGCAGGAAAGTCCGTGAGACTCTTATCTCTAATTAACCACCAGAAAACCAGAAGTGATGCTGTGGCTCAAGGGGTAGAGCGCTTGCCTTGAGAGGAAGAGCTCAGGGACAGTGCCCAGGCCTACCCAGAGTTCAAGCCCCATGACTCAAATAAAACAAAAGAAAACCCATTAATAAAGAAGGGTCACAGTCTCCCCCCACCCTTTTTTAAGTAATGAGGACATGCCAATGAAGAAACTTTCACCATCTGCCTCATTTTAAATGTGTCCATTTAATGAATCAGCCCTTCTTGGTGTAGAGCTTAGCTCCACCCCACCATATATGCACCTAAAGAAAATCCTTATAGTACCATCTGTAATACAGACAGCTGAAAGTGATCCAAATGACTGAGTACAGGAACACCTCTGAAATATTTGTATCTGAAATACTGGCAATACAATACCACAGAAAATCCAAAAGTCAATGATATAGGTCTGTGTTCCCAACAAGCTGATTCCCCAAGATACAATACTGGGGAGATAAAGCTAATTACAGAATCAGATACCCTGCCCTGACCCTTTTATGTAAACTAACAACAAAAATTAAAATTTGGTGACATGAGATGAAACTGTAACAGAGATTTGATGTACACCCAGTTTGTGACAGTACTTATCTATGGGAAAAAAGAGGAATAAGAACAGGAAAATATGGATTCGTTGCTCTTTAAATTTTACTTTCTGGCAGGGAGCTCAAATTTAACTGAAATGGTTTATTTCTTTTTGCTTATGTGGTGCTGAGGAATGGAACCCAGGGCCTCAGGCATGCAAGGCAAGTGCTCTACCACTGAGCCACCTTCCCAGCCCATTGAAATGGTTTATTTCTTAAAAATGAAAAATAATGTAAAGTACTAGTGACAAAATGTCATTTTCTTCCCTTCTTTTCTGCTGTGATGGGAAATGAACCCAGGGCCTAACACATCTAAACAAGTGCTCTGTCACATACATACATACATTACATACATACATACATACATAATACATTATAATATATATTATATATATTAGTGAATGCCAGGTACACAGGTACGTCCTAAATTATCTGTGTGGAATACTTCATATTAATATCTTTGAAAACTAAGAAGTTCCTTAGAATTCCTCAGAAACATTTCCACATTATTTGAAGAGTCACCACACCTATAATAATAAAGCTATTTTCAATTCTATTTTATTTTTCTTTGCTTTACTGAACAAGTAAAATGCTTTTAGTTAACTGAGACACATCTCAACACAGCTTAAGTCTTTTTTTTTTAACAGCTGAAGTCTTAACATGCTCTGTGTTATGGTCATGAGTCTTAGTGGTAAACAATTCATATGGACACCTGCTTCAGATACTGAGGTACCTCCTCAAAAACACTCAGCTTGTTACCAAGCGGTACTTGACTCAGTGCCAAGCCACGGGACAGTCTTAGTGTGTTTCGGTGCAGTTGTACATGAGTTAAGAGAAAACTTCTAGCCCTCCTGACATCAGGCAGTCATGCGATTAAAACCATATTCTCTGTTTTGGAAAATAAATAATTACCAAGAACACAAGAATGAAAGACAAATCGAATATATGTTTAATTAAGGTCACTGCCAAAAACCATACCACAATGTTAGGAAGATCATAGAAAAACTATCTGACCTTTAAATTATTTTATTTAAAAGATTTCCTAATAGCAGTGAGCAATATGCTTTCGTTTTCCAAAATTCTTGAAAAAGCTCTCAGTGCAGTAATTTATGGTTCAGAACAGAGCCATAAATTGAATTTTTCTGAAATTAAAAGCAAACAGCCCATCACCAACAAAATCCTTGCTCAAAGGAGCCATCAAACAGAAGAAAATGAAATGAAACCCACATGACTGAGGAACTGTAATCTATCTGTTGGTACATTCTTTTAAGCTTCTGCCACCAACCACCACAGATCTTTGTAATATGCCATGTATTTTCTCTCTCAGCAGAAAAATGGGCCGTTAATGAGACTAGATTACAAAAAGCAGCTTTGCCAGGCATGGTGACACACGTTTATAATCCCAGATGCATGGGAGGCAGAGATGGGAGGAACAAGGCTCCAGGTCCAGCAAGGCAAAAGAAAAGTTATCAAGCCTCTATCTCAACAAACAAGCTGGGTGTGGTAGCTAGGCAGAAGGTGAAACTGGGTGGCAGTCTGAGGGTGGTCCTGGGCAAAAGCATCTATCTGAAAAATAGAGTAAGGCAAAAGGAGCTTGTTCAAGTGATAGATTGCTTGCTTGGCAAGCATAAGACCCTGAGAGTTCAAGCCCTTGTATTGTATTAAAACAACAACAACAACAATAACTAAAACAACAACAAGAAGACCAGCTACACAGATTTAAGAGGAGTGGCTATTCCAAAATAAACTAAAGTTAGGGTATGGAAGAACCACATGCCTTCTTGAGGAAAGACTGACATTTGCGAGCTGACTCACTCAGCCAGAGCTCTGAAGAGGGGTTTTCCAGTACTAGAGCCCACTGATCACCGCTGGGGAATACACTGACTTTTCACTGTTCTGTCTACTATAGGCAAATCTGAGAGGCAAACTCTCTATGTGAAAAATGACCCGATCTTTCTTAAGGATACAGGTTGAAGAATTACCTTTCAGAGTAGAAATATGCAACTTCCTCTTATCATTTCAACCCTAACAAAGAAAAAGCAAACAAAATGTTTTAACATGAACAATGCAGAGATGCACAGATGCCCCAATTCTATCCACAGGGAATGTCAGATGATGTTGGTAGCTGGTGTAACAACCACAGTGCTCAGACACTCAACAGGAGAGCCATCTAGAAAAGCCTAACCATCCTCAGTGATGTTCCTTAAGAGTGGTTTCATAAGAACATCAGCAAACAACAAGGAAGCAAAATGAAAGTGCTCTGCTTGAAAAGAACCGACTCTGCTGCTCAGGCTTTCCATTCATCTTCCTTTCCCCTAATAACAAACTTCCTTTTGTTGATCAGTTACCATTCTCATATATATAAGCAATGAACTCTAAATGCCAGAATATTATTTACCTACAGAGCTGCTTTTCATAATGAAATACTAAAGCAAAATACAATCATCAGACAGTCTAAGTTCTTCTGTTTCTTTAGATTACAGCTGGTTTACTTGTTTTATTTTTTGGATCAAGAGGAAGCTCCTACTACAAAAGTACTCTGAGGCTGCTAACACAAGAGAAAATAAATCAATAATAATATAAATATTTCTTTACATCTGTTAGAAGCAAACAGTAAAACCCTGGCAAGATCCAAAAGCCCAAGTAACAAATTCTTTATTCTGAAGGACACACCAAGCTTTCTACAAATACATTTTTCTGTGGAAGCCGGAAAGAATAACTGATCATCCAAGGTCAGTTTTACATGAGAAAGAATAATTCACTGTAAACACAGCTCTTCTCACCATGAATTCACTTAATCCTAAAGCAGGAGCAGATTGGGCTGTGCAAAAGTCCTTCTAGGGTTTCCTTTAAATTACTTTGAAATATTCCTGACAAAAGACTCCAGCTTCTGCCTGGACTTCTGGTGTTTAAATCCAGGAGGAGAGTGGATGAAAGCTATGTGAATGTTATCTGCTTGTGATTTCTAGCTGCTCTGACCATGACTACCTCTGCATTCCTCCTCATAAAGGGCTTAGCTGTTACACTCTGTCTCAGACTGGCACAGGTGGGATCTGGTGATGTCAGAGATGCTGAGGTTAAAACAGTCTATGCTGTTCAATCCTTTAGTATCTTCATTTAGATAGTCATATTAAAGTGGTGGAAGGAAGACAAGATAGCAATGCAAATCATCTTAATCACCCTGAAGAACTATGTAGCTGCTCATCTTTCTAAACCACACCTGGAAACCTGATTGAGCAGGTGTGAAGCTTCATGGGGGAGGAGTGAAATGGGGTGATGTTAAACAACAAAAAGTTACTTTCTTGAGAGGGATGGAACATTTACTGAAACTCCTGGGAAGATTCAACATGAGAGGCGACGAAGGGAAAGAACAAATGATTCTGAGTCTACCAATTACTCAGCCCTTCCATTTCCTGCCAAGATAACAGATGGGGCTTCATGCATGCAAACGTGGATTGCAGGCACTGGCCTCCGGGAAGCCAGGAGAAGCAGACCACTGCTTCTTGTTTTCTGGGAGGATGATTATAACTGTTCCTTTGTTTCCAAGCCTTGACTTCTTCCTTCCTCCTCCTCCTAGTCACATGAGGAAGGCTGCACAATCTAATACACAAATTTCACTGCCACTCCCAGATGGTGAGCCAATTTCAACACTACATTTGGAGCAGGGAACAAAATTGTAGTTCATGCATGGGTGCCTAAGTTTCTGACGTGGAAATATATTTTTGACCTTTGGATGCTTGGTAGGTAACAATAATATCCTATCTGAACTACAAGCTTCTCTGTCCTGTGGGTGATTTCTCCAATTGTGACATGAGACAGGCAGCTGCCATGGTGTCATCAAAGCAGAGGACAAGAAGGCTGCTGAAGGGGCCAAGGTTATACCTAGGAAGCTAAATTAATATTATCCCTTGTATCTGCCACCCCAGTTTAATCAGCAGCAGGCAGAACAGCACCACAACTGTTTGTATCAATGGCAAAAGGTTGTAAGGCGTTATTAGTGCCTTGGCAAACCTTCAGAAAAAAAGAATATTGGGTGGGCCATTCAGTTTTTTTATGTGTACATGACAGGTTTAACTTAGCGTTTTTAAAAATCACTACTTTAATAGAAACAACAGAGCCAAGAACTATACACAACATTTTAAGATTCATTAAGACAAAGGTGAATGAGGGGAAGAAATAAAAAGTTTTCAATTTACATTAAAAAAAAAATCCTCTCCTGGGCTGGGAAGGTGGCTTGCCTTGCATGCCTGAGGCCCTGGGTTCGATTCCTCAGCACCACATAAGCAAAAAGAAAAAAGCCGGAAGTGGCACTGTGGCTCAAGTG